ATTGTAATGATTTAGCATCTGTTGCCTTAATATTCAATTCAAAGCTGTTGTGTCACTGTTTAATATAAACTATACTGATGTGTTTGTGTTGAGGCAACTATTGTAGTTGTATCTGCTTATTTTTTGTTCACACTTGCAGACTGATTTTTATCCTTTATCAAAGTCACACTCAGCTATCTGACCAAAGAAGCAGTATCCCTGGATTATAAGTTAATTTATTAATCTATTCTTTGGATCAGTAAAGAAAGACTTTCACTAGAATTAAAGATAATTTAATTGACACATTAATATGTGATGGCTTCGCATTAGTTTGGTTTAAACATTCTGTCAACAGCCAGGGTCATTGAACTTTATAGTGCTGCCTCACTGAACTATATTACCCAAGCCCCCAGCGGGACACCTCAAATAGTCACATTACAGACAATAGGAAAACCTATTATTACACAATCACAATACTGAACATTAAGCAGAAAGACTCTGGTGTGAGTTGTATGTGATGTTGGAGATATCATGTGATAAATCTTTCTAGAAATGTCAGTGGATCTGGTTATAACATTGTATAAGGAAGTGATCAGATGAAGTTTTTCTTTTAAGGATCAGAAACAAAAATTACATGATTAGGTAGTTCAGGGTAGTACAAGCTTTACAATATCTTAAATATTTCATTTTTCATGCCCATTGAAGTTATTGATTGTTAATATTTGATATTTGACGTTTATTTCTGCTTTTTTTCTCTTTAAGGTTTTGATGAAAATGAAATCAATATAAAATCTATAAAAAGGTGATAAGAAACATGAACATTCACTTTCAAGGAAGACTGCTGCTTTTTCTAAAAAAAATAACTTTCATTTGGCCAAATGAATTAAATTTTTTTGGGGTAAGATAATCTTGATAAGTGGTACTGAAGTTTGTTTGAGGTTTAAAAATCAAACATTAGCAATAGCACTGGTCCTGTGATGCTCTTTCAAAATGCATTTGTGTATAAGCAATCTGCTTTTCTTTCTACTTGAGAGTAGGAGAGGTGGGAAACCATTAATCGTTTGGTAGTTTACAGATAGCTGACAACATGTAGCAGACGGCCAGTGTCTGCACAAAGATACAATAGCTTGTGAAATCTTTTGTTTCTTAGTTTCCAGATACTCTGGCTCTATAAATTTGGTCAAAATGACTGAAAAAGTTTGTGTTGCTGAGATAAGTGGAAAACGTGTTTCTCTGTTATCTGAGGACGGAAAGGGGATGTAGGAGGATAGTGTTGAAGACATTGTTCAGAGGTCATCTACTGTATGGAGGGTGGGGTTTTCCTGCTTTTAGTGGCAAGCAGGATTGATGTGCTGGGTTTTATCTATAACAGGTTTGTCCTGGACAATGTAGAAGATTCATTGTTAGGGTCAAATACAAGGTTAGGTTGCCAGACTGGTAAAATAAATGAAAGAAAAAATTGTGGAAAGTTTTCTAATTTCTATGTAGGAACTTTGAATTTTTCTGGACAAATATGAAAAAGGAAAGGAGTTAGATGTATGAAATATTCTATTAATTTCATTAATTTTCATGGTTTTAATTTTCATTTTCATAGGTATATGTAATAAATCCACAGATTTTTCTGTCCAGTAATTAAAGAACTCAGAGAGAAATATTACATGATTTTTTAGTAGATTTGTCCATATGAAATACCCATGAAAACAAACTGTAAGCAAAGTGGTTTTTCATTGAAAAATCCCAAAAGAAACAAAAGCATTTTACAGTATACCTCACTTAAACATTACATACAAGTTCTACATCTTAAATTGTATAAGATACAGGTCCAAGGAAACACGTCTTTCTTGATGTTTGTATTTTTTGGACACAACACTAACTAGGATAGTTGTACAGATACACTAGAAACAACAAGGTCAAAAGGTTGGAGACAACACCAATTATGACACTTTCTGTTGTACAAATGTCACAAGAACAAGGTCAAAAGGTTGGACACACCTCCAATTATGACAGTTTTTGTTGTACAAATGTCACATGAACAAAGTCAAAAGGTTGGACACACCTCAAATTATGACACTTTCTCTTGTACAAATGTCACATGAACAAAGTCAAAAGGTTGGACACACCTCCAAATATAACAGTTTTTGTTGTACAAATGTCAAATGAACAAGGTCAAAAGGTCGGACACACCTCCAACTATGACAGTTTTTGTTGTACAATTGTCACATGAACAAAGTCTAAAGGTTGGACACACCTCCAAATATAACAGTTTTTGTTGTACAAATGTCAAATGAACAAGGTCAAAAGGTCGGACACACCTCCAACTATGACAGTTTTTGTTGTACAATTGTCACATGAACAAAGTCTAAAGGTTGGACACACCTCCAATTATGACAGTTTTTGTTGTACAAAGGTCACATGAACAAGGTCAGAAGGTTGGACACACCTCCAATTATGACAGTTTTTGTTGTACAAATGTCACATGAACAAAGTCAAAAGGTTGGACACATCTCCAATTATGACACTTTCTGTTGTACAAAGGTCACATGAACAAGGTCAAAAGGTTGGACACACCTCCAACTGTGACACTTTCTGTTGTACAAAGGTCACATGAACAAGGTCAAAAGGTTGGACACACCTCCAACTATGACACTTTCTGTTGTACAAATGTCACATGAACAAGGTCAAAAGGTTGGACACACCTCCAATTATGACAGTTTTTGTTGTACAAAGGTCACTTGAACAAGGTCAAAAGGTTGGAGATAACACCAATTATAACACTTTCTGTTGTACAAATGTATAAAGGAATGAAGATTAGAAGATTGGGGGTTTTAATACAATTTCACTGTTGACATTTTGTGTTGTACAAATGTAACCGGACCTAAAGGATTGCAGTGTTAGTGACAAAAAAACTTTGATGGTGTTAGTGACAAAAAAACTATGATGATGAAGTATCTGTTGACAAGAAACAATAGATAAAAAGTTGCGAGTTTAGAAATGCAATGGTAATTTTGATATCAAGAGTTGAACTAGGAATAATATTAAGGGCTTTAGACAAATCAAAAGCGAATTGTTATTGACTAGGAATAGACTGAATGATTGAGTAATGTGAGAGTACCTGAAGTCTATACCATGTCTGCTAGTATTTAGCTCAGCCATGTGGTCCAGTGCTTCTGAAGGATCCATTCCTTTATGTGGGGTATAAAACTCTACCATGCATTAACAGGGACCTGCTTTATATCCCCACCAGACCTTCTCCAATGGAGTTGTTAATTCATCTGAGATTCAGTCTCCTCATAAACTTTTTACATTGTAAAAGGAAATGTAATTGTCTAGTCGGTCCACAGAGGCAAAACCATTTAGACATATTGGTTTATCTATTGTGTAGCATGAAAATCGGTAAGCAATCAAAAATAAAACAACTTAATAAATAAAGCAAGCAATTTTTATCTATTCTAAGCTTTCCTAATTTAAATGAACAGCAGACACATACACCTTTGGATTCATTCATTATATTAATAAATTCATTTCAAATGTTTATAGATATCATTCAAGAACTGAGAAAATTTTAATCTTTATGATGATTTATTGTAGTTGAATTCATTGGTACTCTTTATCCATGAATGTCTATGTCTGTTTTAATAAGTAGATTTATTTAGCTAGATTTGTGTAGATGGGTGTAGGTACTGCATTTGCATACTAAAGTTATGGTAATTATTACTGAAATGAACAAGTAAATTTATTTAGCTAGATTTGTTGAGTTCTGTTTACCTACACAACCAAGTATCAGTGAAATAGTTACTTTTTGAAAAATATGTTTTTCAGATGTTTTTTGTCCCAGGTGTAAGTCAAACCCAGAGTCTATCACAGACCATGTGATACTTTTCAGTTTGACTTCTGCCAGATCTCGTGATTCGGCTTTAAATTACGTAGTTTCTTTCTCTGTTTAACCCTTTTTTGATTCTTATGTGCAGAAATGACGATGTTCTGGGGTTCTATAGTAATAGTAGCATTTTATAAGTACTGTCAAAGAATGCTGAATCTGTGACTGTGGTAAACCGGAAATACACAGTGGAAATATCATATCCGTGATGCAATACATGGCGGGATTTTCATTCATATTATGATTCATGGTGGCCATGATGTTTGCAATCAGTTGTACATGTAAACAAACAAATTACATGAAAAGACATCATGTATAAACATTTTCCCGTTTCGCTGATCATGATGGTCGAGCAGCTGAAAAGAGTGACTGGGAATGGTTTGTTGGAGAAGAAATGATATTCTCTAGATGTCATGACAAGGAATTTATTCTCTTGTCAAACTGCATCTGGTTCTGGTCTCCGCTACATATACCAGTGGTGTCATCCTACCTCAAAATTTGAAATCATTGGAGGTAAGTTTTTGAAGTGTTTGGAATAATAAATGCAGTAATCATTAAAGAGTATTGATCACTCTAAATCTTACATAGAAATGATATAAGTGGCCAAGAAGTGAACACAATTTCAATTTCGTAATAATTACCATAACTTTAGTATGCATAAATGGTACCTACACCCATATTTGTATCCCAAAAACAAAATTTAATTGCAATGAAAATTTACTATTTTTGCTATTTTTCTTGTTCTTGGAATTCACTTTTTTGCATCAAAAGAACTTTTTTAATGCTTTTGTATCATATTACTGCATAAGAATGAATCTTTTCTCTCCTCAGAATTTTCATAGAGAATTGCGTTAAAAGTATTTTGAACTGTCATGTCTTGAATTTCCATGCCCCCTTCTTTGACTGTTGATATATATCATGTCCAGCATTCATTTTCATTTAGCATAGTATCATATCATTACCCAAGTATTAGGATTTTATCTAAAAAAAAATCTTCAAAATGAAAAAGAAATCCACTTAAAGAATCCTTACTGAAATAAGTGATTGTTTCATAATTGTCAGATGACGGAGAAAGTGGAATGGACCCTTTGAATTGTTCAAATGTTGATGGCAATAACTTATCTGTATGTTTTCTTTTTTACAGGAGGCCATTTCAGTGGTTTCTTGAAACAGGATGTGAAGTCTATGCCAAGAAATCTGAAAAATCCAGTCATCATCAACCAGAGGGCATTCTGTAGCATATTATTATATCAAGATGGACCACTCTGAAAATGATAACAGCCTAAAGTGACATGTGAAATGATTTTGACAACCTAGATATTAGGAAATCCATGTCAATGCTATTTCCATGCAACTGATCAATCTGTTTTGTTGTATTGAATTAAAATCATTGTTGGAAAATAAATAAAAAAAAACTAGATTTGACATGGTAGTCAAACGGTGAAATATGCTTTGTACAAAATAACATTATATATAAATACAAGGGTACCATTTAGTCTTTGATAAAACTTGTTATATCATCCAATAAAATAGCTCTGAATTACAACGAAAAAATGATTACTGTACTCTGTTTCTACTCCTTCATTATCTAGACGAGATAAACCTATTTAATGTTGATAACCCTGGTTTAAATGTTAAATGTTTCACTTGGAAACAGAAATATCGCCTCAGAGTAATGTACTTATCTGGCTTATTCATCCTTTCATAATATTTTAGTCCTGGTTCCAATCTAGCATTAAAAGTTATAACTTTTTAGTACTGACCATTTCACACAGTTGACAGCTGTCCATTTCACACAGTAAACAACTGACCATTTCACACAGTAGACAGCTGACCATTTCACACAGTTGACAACTGACCATTTTACACAGTTGACAGCTGACCATTTCACACAGTAGGCAACTGTCCATTTCACACAGTAAACAACTGACCATTTCACACAGTAGACAGCTGACCATTTCACACAGTTGACAGCTGTCCATTTCACACAGTAGACAACTGACCATTTCACACAGTTGACAGCTGACCATTTCACACAGTAGACAACTGAGCATTTCACACAGCAGACAACTGACCATTTCACACATTAGACAGCTGACCATTTCACACAGTTAACAACTGTCCATTTCACACAGTAGACAACTGTCCATTTCACACAGTAGACAACTTACCATTTCAAACAGTAGACAACTTCCATTTCACACAGTAGACAACTGACCATTTCACACAGTAGACAACTATTTCACACAGTACGCAACTATTTCACACAGTAGACAACTGACCATTTCACACAGTAGACAACTATTTCACACAGTAGGCAACTGTCCATTTCACACAGAAGACAACTTACCATTTCACACAGTAGACAACTGACCATTTCACACAGTTGACAGCTGACCATTTCACACAATAGACAACTGTCCATTTCACACAATAGACTACTGACTATTTCACACAGTAGGCAACTGTCCATTTCACATAGTAGACAACTGAGCATTTCACACAGTTGACAACTGTCCATTTCACACAGTAGACAACTGACCATTTCACACAGTAGACAACTTACCGTTTCACACAACAGACAACTGAGCATTTCACACAGTATGCAACTGAGCATTTCACACAGTAGACAACTGACTATTTTACACAGAAGACAACTGACCATTTTACACAGCAGACAATTGACCATTTCACACAGTAGACAACTATTTCCCACAGAAGACAACTGAGCATTTCACACAGTAGACAACTGACCATTTCACACAGTAGACAACTGTCTATTTTACACAGTAGACAACTGACCATTTCACACAGTCGACAACTATTTCCCACAGAAGACAACTGAGCATTTCACACAATAGACAACTGACCATTTCACACAGTAGACAACTGTCTGTTTTACACAGTAGACAACTGACCATTTCACACAGTAGACATCTGAGCATTTCACACAGTAGACAACTATTTCACACAGTAGGCAACTGAGCATTTCACACAGTAGACAACTGACCATTTCACACAGTTGACAACTGACCATTTTACACAATAGACAACTGACCATTTCACACAGTAGACAACTGTCCATTTCACATGATAGGAATCTAGTAATTCCAATACAATACAATAGTCAACTGACAATTCCATGTGATGAGTATTTTAGACCCTAATTAAGATGTGTACAGTAATAATATTGCAGTTGACTCATGTCTAGCTTTAATCTCACCTATACTTACTTCCATTCCTTAGTCCATAGATTTACCAACTTATGTTATTGTAATTAATTAGTCCTTTGTCTCTGAACTTTTATTCAGACACATCTTACTATATGATCAACACGAGATCCTATGTATGGAGTTTAGCTGAAATTTGAACCTACACATAATATGATTTATAATCACTTAAAATCCTAGATTGAATCCTTGCCTTAAGTAGAGGTTGTCATGTGACTGTTTTGATAACACTCCTTTTATAAATTTGTGGACCTGATAGAAGTGTAAGGCCTGAAAGCATGAGGGATATCACCAAAGGCTGGTAATGGGTGTGCTATCAATATATTCATATTATAATCTTTTAACCACACACTTTTGAAACAAAACAAAAATATAATTTAACAAGTTAATAATTTCATATTATCAACATTATGAGTTATGAAAAAAACATGGTACATTGCTGTTTTAAAATCAAGGAACATAATTAAAACACAATCTCGCACGATTACCCTTACTCTTTTGGTTTTTTTTCTTAATGCTTTCTACAAATGTGTTGTTTCTTTCACATTAAGTTCTTAAATTTTTTTCTTTCTTCCTTTTTGATGTTTTCGCCTGTCGCCTTTATCCAAACAGCAAACAAATTTAAAATTCGTTTTACGGTTTGCAAACTGCTAGTCTTTGTCTCTCTGTTGTTCTGTGGTGCTGTCTTGTGCAAAATTAAGTGTTTGATGATGTCATTTTTTATCCTGATGACGAAATATCGTCATGGCAATCAAGATATCGGCATGGGTTGGCATTGAAACTGTTTATGAGCCAGATCTCGGATAAGACCATACAAATAACATTTGTTTCACTTGAAGGAAAATGTGTATTATCAGAGACAATTGTGATAAAGTATGTTATTTCACTACTTTTGTATTCCAACTCGTCATGATATCGGAGACAAGTGTGATAAAGTATATTATTTAACCTTTTTTGTATTCCTACTCATCATTATATCGGAAACAAGTGTGATAAAGTATATTACCTAGTACTTCACCACTCTTTTTTTCTTGCGCATCATTAAAAGTTATGTTTTTAACAGACCTTTCTTGACAGACCTTTTAAGCAGATATGGGGATCATTTTGAAATCAAGAAAAAAATAACAACATGAATTATTAGTCAACAAGTTGATAAGTCCACAAGTCATGGTATACCAAAACAAAATAAACATGTTTCTGTAATTGATATCAATTTGTTTTAGTACATTAGCTACTTTGATGTAAGAAAAATGGAAAATGGAGAATGTTATTGCCTGTGTTTCTGTTGTTATTTTAAGAGACAGTGACCTTGTAAAACACACACACAGACAACATTCTAAGGATGAAATAAATTAACTACTCAGCAGTACTATATCGCTTAAAACCTTGTCCAGTTGTTTTTCTAGCTCATTAACTTTACACGCTTATATGACTGTATGTTTGGTCTTTACAAACAGTATTGTTCCTCTAGGTATACACGCATGCTTTGAAGTCTGCCTGTTTCTCTTAAGTAGCTGTCATTTCACTGTGTTTTGCTCTCATTTACATGGCCGCCAATCTGATCATGTGACCACATCATCAGATTTGTTATTTGTGTTATTGACCCTCAGGCTGGGAAGTTGGTGGGAAGCAGGTAAAACATTTACCTGTAGGTTGTATGGTGTGTGTTAGGACAATAGATGGTCAGGTGAGAATTTTAGACTCAAGGTGTAACGTTGTCATGGATGAAAGTAAGTGACAACTAAAATGACTGTGATCATCATTCACATGTTAATTAATGTATCTACATCTTAAAAAGCAGTAGGAGTGTAGAACTTTGTAAAATTTGTAGACATAATACTAAAGAAAAATCAGAGTTCACAACATATCTATTTAGCTTTTGTACTTGATTGACTGAGAATGACCAAGAATCATTATCACCATATGAGGTAGCATTCTTTGTGTTCAAAGCTGTATCTCTTTTACTGTGATGTTGTCCTTTTGTATAAAATATGAAAGAAGATCAAAGATTTTTTGTGTGTTGATGTTGATAGGCTGACACTAACTTTAGAAATCATACCATATGATTTTTCTGTAGAAATGATATGTTATTGTTGGCCACTATATATGGATAAACAGTCTGGTTGCTTTTAAATCAAAGATACACTTTATATAGACTTTACTGGGGTACAGTCAATTGAAATGTCACCTCCTAAGTTGGTGAATTAAAAAGTATAAACTTCATGTGTTTTACAACCATTGCAGAAACAAGCTAATTAGTTATGGTATATTATCATTGGAACATTGGAGAGACTCTACGTTGGGAAGAAACCGGAGTACCCAGTGAAAACTCATTTAGTTGGGGGCAGATGACCCCCATACCATTCCTCATTTAATTGCCTGAGTGAAAGGAAAGTGCATTACCATTGTACCACACGACAACCCAGTATATTTAAATATGTTCTCAGAAAGCAATATGTTGAAATATGCTCTCATTACACAGTTCTAACTGGTCCTCTGTCCTGTCCTATCCAGTTGCATCCAGTCCAGTCATGTCATGTGTAGGCCTATCCTGTCCTCTGTCCAGCCCACCCAGTTGTGTCCAGTCCAGTCATGTCATTTGTATGCCTATCCTGTCCTCTGTCTAGCCCACCCAGTTGTGTCCAGTCCAGTCATGTCATGTGTAGGCCTATCCTGTCCTCTGTCCTGTCCTATCCAGTTGCATCCAGTCCAGTCATGTCATGTGTAGGCCTATCCTGTCCTCTGTCCAGCCCACCCAGTTGTGTCCAGTCCAGTCATGTCATGTGTATGCCTATCCTGTCCTCTGTCTAGCCCATCCAGTTGTGTCCAGTCCAGTCATGTCATGTGTAGGCCTATCCTGTCCTCTGTCCACCCTACTCCGTTGTGTCCAGTCTAGTCATGTCTTGTGTAATCCTGTCATGTCCTCATTTGTGTTCATTTCAGTCCGGTACTGTGAAGTCCTAACTGATCCATTTAGTCCAGTCCTTGCTGTCCTATTGTTATCTCTGGCATCAATATCATCATTCCAGTAGGTTCCTTTTTGTCAAAGGTGCTATTAAAACTTTGAAGAACACTTTGACAATACTTGACAGTAATAGCATACATGAGTATAGAGGTTTTTATTGAGACAGGACTCCATTACTTGCTGTTTAATATCAAATGGGTAACTGAGCCAATATTCATTTCCTGTCCCTATATGATGAGACAGTTACCTAGCTAATGTTCATCTCCTGTCCCCACTTGGTGTGACAGTTACCTAGCTAGTGTTCATCTCCTGTCCCTATGTGATGAGACAGTTACCTAACCAG